AGGCAATTCACTCACCTCGGCCTCCCAAAACGCGGGATTACAGGCTGAGCCACCGAGTCCGGCCTGTCTCATAATTCTTAACTGTGGGTTCAGCCATGAAAGCAAGGTCAATGTGGCCCAGGAGAGAAAATGGTCCAGGAGGTCCTTCCCTCCCTGTCTACCCAACTCCTCCTTTGGAAGTAGTACTATTTGAGGGGACTTCAGGACCCAGACCTCCTCCAGCAGGTCTTGCTGCCAGAATAAACAGACATCTGGTTTTACACATCCTGAGTTAGTGGGTCTGCTCTTAGGAGGTAGATTCACTCTGCAGAATGAGTGGGCCGTTTCTCAGGCTGACTGGCCACAGGTAGGACCCTGGTTATGGAAAACTGGAGCAGTGAATGCTACCCTGGAAGGGTGTTATGTGTGAGCTGCCAAGGCAGGAGCTTTTCCCCTGATAGCTTACTCCCTTACTTGATTTCTGTACCCTCCACCAAGGAGGGGCATTGTCTCCTCTGAAATGACCAGAAGGCACTAAAGGACCTCAGACTCCTCATTTCCCAGACTACTCAGGAGGAGCAACCCCAAAGGTAGGGGCAGAGAAAGGTAGGGCCATGGTGCTTTTGGATACCCAGTTTCTTCTTAGGCCTTGCCTCAGCAGCTCAGCTCATGGTCATGGTTGTCCTAGTCTTGTTGTCCCCCAAAGCCTCCTCTCTGAAGCAGTGCAAAGCAGCTGGGGTCCCCTCATGCTAAAGACATGTAGAGTCATGATCTCTGAGTAGTTTTCTCCCTGCCTCATCCTGTTCCAGGACCTCAAGTGGGGGAGCGCTCTGCCTTTAGGCTGAGGAAAAGTTTAGTCACAGTGAAGGGCAGCAGCACCCTTTGGGGACAGGCACAGTTTTGAAGTAATGAAAATAGTGACATCTGAACTGGATGTGGGTGTCACAGATAGACCCGTGACACCCAACCTGCCCTGGGTGTCTACCCCAGAGTTCTGTGCTAGGCTTGCCTCTCCATCCACTTCATTTCATTTGGATGTTCCCCCACCATGTAGATGCTGATGCCTTCCAGATCTGTCTCCTGTGCTGGCCTCTCCTCTTAGGAACCTAGCCGCCTGCTGGCTAGCCCTGCTCAGGTAACTCCTGGGCTTCTCAAAGCCCCCATTTGCAACTGAAGCTGCCTCCACTTATTGGCCCGCCCATTTAGCACATGCATTATGTGCACTCTCAGTTGCCCAAACAAGCCTCCTCTCACCTCCCCGGTGAGCCTTACCATTCAGACTCATCCTGGATTCTATCCTGCCAACCCTCCCCCAAGGGCATTTCCAGCTTGGCTGAAATGGAGTCATGTGAACACCCCTAACCTCAACCTTGATCCCATCCTTCCTTTGGATGTCCCTCAGCCCCTTCCTGAGGAGCAAACACCAAGCTCAGTCTCAAGGGGTTAGTGCTGCATGCGGTGGGAGCTCAGGGAAGGCTTTGCAGGAGAGGTGGGATTCAGACTGAGCGTCTAAGCCTGGCGTGGTAACAGTAGTCCCTTCCTCCCCAGCTCTCGGTTGTCGATGTCTTCACACTCCCAACATCAGTACTACTGCTAGCATGTCATTAGTATCACTCTTGCCCTACTCTGATTTTCGGCAAGCCTGAAGTGGCCTCCGAGTGGACATGTTGGGTTAAAGGTATGCTCCTTCCTGGCCTTGTTACTCCTCCTTCCCACACCACAGCAGGATGAGCATCCTCTGTGCCCCATTTCTCTCCACTGCATCCCCCGCCGGGTCCCTGCCAGCCCTGCAGGAGCCTGTACCCAGTAAGCCCGTTTTATGCTGCTTGGAGGAGGAGATAGAGCTCAAAAGGTCCCAGTTCTTCTCAGCGTACGATCAGTTCTCCCACTTTTCAAAACTGGGATCTCCTTTGTTTTAAGAGCCACTTGGTTAAGTTAAGAGCATTAGAAGAGTAAAAAGCAGAATCTAATTAGATAATTTTACCTAAACACACTAGCTGTCGAGGAATTCACATAGACATTGATTTTCTAATTAGGACAATGTTAGGGATTCTCTGTGTGCAAAGAGGATTCTGATCCTGCCTGCTATTACATGATACTTATTTCTAAAGCCATGGTTATTGTTCACATTTTCATGATGGAAAATACCCCATAATTATGCCACCTAGAGGGTGAGGGCCACGGGAAGGGGAGCTTAGAAAAACGAAAATCTCTCTAAGGCTGGTCCTGGAGCAGCCATCCAGATGTGTCCGAACTGGCACAGGAGAGGAGCCTCAGGCCAGGCTACAGAGCTGCTGTCACTAAAATCTTTAGTCACTGGGGCTCAGGGAGCCCTAATTTGGTAGTAGGTGACAGTTGTGGCACAGGGAGCAAATGATCTTCTCCCTCATTCTATATAGAACACAGCTTGGCTTCAGTGCTTTGGGGGATTCACAGACACAGAGCAGGTTTGCATATTTATAGGCCACAGGGATCAGCAGGAGGTGGTTCACGGGGCGTACCCTGGAGGTGATGAGAAACTTCTTCAAAACCCTTCACTGCAAACTTCGCTCAGAGCAGGAGAGAACACCTCCAAGGACAGTATCTGAAAGGAAAGGGCTTGCTTATGCCACATATGAGGTCGCCATCCCAACCCTGCTCATGGTTTCTCAGAAGTGGATGGAGGAGGTAAGGCTAGCTGGACTGGGCCCAGTGTTTGTGGTGGGGG